CAACATTCGATTGGGAAGTATTTAATTGATCTGGCATTGTTGGATTATCATTGTATGAACTATAAACCATCGTTAATTGCTGCATCAGCCACATACATTGCACGGTATTTGTTGACATACAAAGCAAACGAATCATTCGATTATTATTGTCCAGAAGAATTACGAACAATGACTCCGTACAAAACGTATGAGCATTTAACTTGTGGTATCAGAACATTGTCAACCCTTCTTCTTAAAGCATCATCGAAAACAAATATAGGCGAATATAGTTTGTTGTTTAAAAAGTATGAGCATGAGAATTTATCGAATGCAAGTGCATTTTGTGTCAAACAACAAAACCTAATTCAAAAACTGGTAAATGACTGTCAATAAGAGACAACGTTATTCTCTCTCTTTTTTCCACTTGTATATATTGCCAATGTAGAGAAATGTTATCCTGTTTTTGATGTCTTGCTTTGTTTTTTATTAGTTGAATAAAATATTTTTTATATGTGCAAGTCACAATGTATTATTTGTTCATTAAGTCTTTCTTCATCAACTTGTACGAATTTATTATCACAACTGCTGATGCTTGTTTTTTTGTACTTTTTTCATCAATTTTTTATTATTGTTGTTAAAATTTTTTGTCTTTTGTATGTGGCCTTTTTTCTTGTTGTGCGCAGATTCAATTAGAATGCAAGTTATTTTTGCTAAAATATTTTCTATTGAACGAAAAAAATAAAATCAGCGGTGAGTATGTTAATAATAAAAAGAAAAAGAATTAGAACTGATTTATTTCAGAATAGCTAAACTAGAATCCAGAACGGCTCCTCTATTCCAAATCTACAGGAACGACTCAATCATCATTAAAATGAGCTGATTTAATTTAGTTTGATATCATATTTTTGAAACACCTTTGAAAGAGGAGTTTTGATCATAGTTGCTGATTCGACTGGTACTTTTTTTGTTTAGATGAGATACTAAGAATGAATTATGCTAAATACGTTTTTCGGTATCTACAGACGAAATGAGAGAGTCATTAATTACTCCGATAAGACGTAAGGCGTAATAATCTACTGATACTTTTTTTCGAAACGTTTTAGAAGTCAATAGTCTGTAATAATAATAAACTAACAGAGATTAATAATCCTGCTATTAATATAATCAAGGTTTATTCACATGATTTTTTTTATGACCGGCTAATCGGATCGTCACAGCCCATGGCGATTGGAGAGAAAATTGAGATTTCATGGTGCATAATCGCGATTATAAAATCCCAGTTTTCTCTACTCGATTATAAAAAAAACCACCTCATGAGATTGTTGATAGTTCTTGCGTTGTTCATTATAATTTTTTGACGGTAATATGAATAACTGGATCTTATCTTGAAATATGAAAAATACGTAGTAATTAATCTTCGAAGAAGCATTTCTCTACGTGTAGGTGTATGTTATTTGTTTAGTTTATGATTAACATGACATCGATTTATCTCCATGTCACAGTAATACTATAATTATTATTATTCGCATACGTTTGTTCCGGTCTATATTTCGATGATTAATACTAATCCTTAATAAAAACATTACGTTAAGCGTTTATGTATAATGCATGCCAGACAAGTTAGAATTTGACTAGTTATAATGAATTTTATTCTTTTAAGACAGTGCATTTTATAAGAGAAGTTACTTGACACCAGATATGTATTACGATCTAAAAGGAAGATGAATGAACTGTATCTAACGTATCATCATTGCTACATTGATATTTATAAATAGACATTATTTCAAATAGTTTGTACTCAATTATGTTCAATATAAAAATAACTGTAATTATGTAAAGTCTATATTAACAAGAAGGTTTATTGCAACTTTTTAGTAAATAACGCAAGATATGCGTTTTTGTTTTGTAGTTTACACTAAAAAGAAAAAGATCAATCTTTTAGAAATTTGAGCATTTCTAGAGCATACTATCAAAGTTGCTCATATTTGCACTCATATCTGCTGATAGTTCAGTAACTGAATGAAAGATAAAAACTAGATGCGAATTAAGACTACATTCAAGCTCGAAAATGTAGCTTTAGTTCTAAAAGTGTTCAAAAATATTAGAATAATGCACCGATTACGATTAACCGTTGTGACATGCACATTCTGTTGTTCTAGACCCAAAATGAGAGTAATATCATTGATTTATGACATTTATCTCCTAAACGAATTTTGCCAGCACATCAGAATACGTGAAAGGCTGGATTGTTTCGTTCCACTATGCACTATCATTTTTGAGACAAAATAATGAACTTTTTCTCGAGTATGGTTATTGTGATATAGAATGCACACAAGTTTTTCGCTAATGTTTCATTCTGCAAGTTTTACATCGAAGATGTTTGTCTGTGAAAATCATCGGAAGCTGCGTATATTAGAAGTGAAATTTTAGACTTTTTAAGTGACTAAGTAGTTAACCATTCGACCGGTTACAGTGAACAGTTAATAACCATAACTGGTGTATGCGTAATTATATTTAATATCAACGATGAACATGCGTGTGAACTAAAACTCTCTTATTAACATTTAATATTTTTGATTGCCGATTTGTATTGAGATGCTATTTGCATAAGAGCATGGATTTCAAAATTAAAAAGAAATTTAATCAAAGTAATTCTGTATTCTAATGATTAATTATCATCTAAGATTTTGAGATTGGTTGTACGAGATGATGACAATGTTTTACTTACAGACTGCAAAATCACCATATTTAAAAATAGTGTGAATATTCGCATAACAGCTCAAGAAATTATTCATTCAAGTAGAAATTAAGAGAGTTTACTTACTCAGTCATAGTTTCATTTTACAATTGAAAATATATCGTTACATCATCATACAACGAATATTTGAGTCATATTCTCTTCATGCAATTTCATAACCGTTCTACCTATTATCTTTCTTTGTTTCTTCAGATGATAAGAAACTACAAATACATGATACCTTCACTCTTTGTTTTCTTACTAGAAAAAAAAATGGATGCATATGAAACATGCTATTGAATTTGAATTATTCTATTTCTCATAAAAAAAGTATGTTCCGTAAAATTTTCAAGATTATCAGTCATATGATCCAGCAGCTTTTTTCCATCCGTATCAAGATTGACTGTATTTTTTCTTTTTTGTCATTGCAGTAGTGATCACATTCTTGAGATGTTTAGTTTTGTTGATAACATAAGAGAATCGAATACGCAGATCGAGAGACAGTGCACTGCGATTTCATAGTTTTATACAATCCATCGAAGATTTTTCCGATCGATTTATTCAAATAAATTGTAGAGTTTCGAACCATACTATGATGTGTCACTCATCCTCAGATTATCATGATATACGATATTATAGCGCTATGTATCGACTTTATAAGGATAGCATATAGCATCGGACTACATTAGAAAATGTGTTATATCGCACTACGTGCTTTTATCACGAGCTTTGCGATGTATCGTACTTTTCTATCCAAAAAACAGTTCTCATGGGCAATTACTACACTTTTTTTGATGACGCTCAGCCTTGTCTTTTACACCATCTAATTTTAGCTTTATCTATACTTGAATATGGCTGACAGCTCAGAAAAAACATTGGATCAACGAGCATTGGAGATTAGAAATGCTATGGCTGATTCACAAAGCAGTGAATTAAACGAAAATAACTTACAAGATTCATCGAGTGATGCAGAACTATTCGATTCTGACTTAGGCGAGGACAATGCTCTAAAGAAGGATGATGATGATGAATCCATTGCAACACCCAAAACTAGTCGAAGTGCAAGCGAAAATGATGAAAATGAAAACATCGCTCAATCTGCAAGCTCGAAGGCAAACACTGATGAAGTGTCGAAAAGAGAAACCTCAACAGGTATTGTATAGTTTGTCTATACTGTATCCCGGCATTCAAAAGAAATACATCGGACAGAGTTCAAGAGAAAATATAAACGTTGTTTGGTAAAAATATCTTGTTGTTTTTTAGAGAATACCGATATTATAAATGTAAATCCGTACAATGCTGCGGAGCATCGAGATGATAATCAACAAACTACTTTATCGAATGAAACAAAATCTACTCAAAATAAAACTATAAAACAAGCAGTTAAAGCAAATTTCATCTCGTCATCGTCGTCGTCGTCTTCTTCCTCATCAGAATCTGGTTTTGAACACGTTAAACGACTTGAAGTTGAAGAACATGCAAGTAATAATGAAAATCAACATGAGGTAAGTTTAGTTTCATTATTAAATGCTGCAATAACAAAAATGATTGAGTTGCTTGCCTAATAAGGTTTCTTTAATTTCGATTAATTGCTTTTGTTGCTATATCGAACAGAATGAAAAGGGAAAATAATATTTAATCATGTTTAATTTTTGATGCAAATATCGTATGTATTTGAATTACAGCTATTGTTATGTTAGTAAACTTCAGCTGAGCAATCAAGCGTTACCACTGACAGATTTTGCCAACTTCTCGTAAAAACAGTGATGATGAATACTATGCCTTTTTTTTCCTCATTTCCTCTTCTTTTTGCTTTTTCTTGCGACAAAATTTATGATTTTTCTCTCTGGTATTAAAGCAACCATACAGATCAAATTTTTGAATTAAAACAATGTTGTATTCACTGCGGTATTCTCCATTACACCCGTCATTCATAAAACATGTGATTGCGTGTATTGTTCTTATTTCTCTCTCTAAAAATGGATAAACATGGAATCTATTACAGATATAATGTGTAGATTAATTTTAACTGGTTTTTTTGAAGCCTATTTTTAAAATAAACTAATTTGATCTATATACAAAAATTAACTAAAAATTCAGATATTAAAATACGTATACATAAAGAAACATAATGAGAATGATGTATTTGTATGTGAATAAGCATGCAGTTATTTTTGATATAAGCAGCAAATGTTTTTTTTATACATAATAGTAGCTATTGATAAAAACTTGATAAATTACCTGCGTGATCTATCATCAAACAGTAGATAAGTTAATTTTGTATATTATTTCTGCTTTCTACACTTTGTATATAAGAAATAGAATCGAAATATTATGTAAGATGATTTATTAAAGACATACAACATGAATATTAAGAGAAAACATCTCTGAAAATCAGACAGAAATAGTATATTACAGGCCATGTTGAGTATTACATAAATATATTTCTGTGTAAATGGTTTTTCTTTCTCTGTGACAAATAATAAAAACTAAAACTCGATAATTATCGTTTTCTTCCCACTAAAAAATGTTTGAATCATGGAGTCCATTATCTACTCTACAAGATTCGTTTAGAAATCTGTTGATAGTTATACATCGTATTTATTTATTTTGTCATATAATAATACTAAATAATTGTCGAGCAGATATTCATGATCCGAAAATTCTTGATGCGGAAGAAAAATGATAATTATCGAGTTTTAGTTTTTATTATTTTTAAATCTTGAAATGATCTGCACTACGGAGAAACCAAAAACATTTAGACAGAAATATATTTATGTAATAACCGTCATGGTCTGTGATATACTGGTCACCACTGTCTCTGTCTTACTTTTAGAATTCCATACTCTTAATTAAACGTCAACTGATAACGTATTACTATTGCCACGAAAACTACTATTGCCATGAAAAGAAAATAAGAGAATTGTCTTTAACCATATTTTGATTTGTTTTCTTCTTAGTGAAGTGTTACATCGTTCATGGATGTTGACAGCAAAAGATTACGTTATCAACAGTGACATCAATCTGTAAATATTATCTATACATTTATGATGTCGTTGAGTCGGACTGATTTAGTAGAACAGTAATTTACCATATTATAGATCTATCTATATTATATTTTACAAAATAATTTTAACCTATGAGAATAATAATCAGACCATAAAAAAAGTGGTTTACATCCATGGCTCAATCTTTCAGAATATTATCGAGATATTTTGTTAACAAATCTTGATGAAAAATATAAAAAAAAATTGATACGTTAAGAAATCCATTTAAAATGTTACAGCTTTCATGATAAAGATGAGAACATTTTTTGTGGATCAATGTTGTACGATTGATTGCGATCGGATGTATAATTTAATTTTTTTTTTTTTTTTTTCTTTATTTAAGTGTCAACTGATATGTAATCACGTACTACTACTGCCATAGGAAGAAAAAAAAACAGCGGAAATGATAAAAACATTTAGTAAAACGTCTAGCATGCACCTCAAATAGTTGATGGAAAAAACGATTGTTTTGGGACTAAATAACCTTCTTCTTCTTTCCGTTTTGTTATCGTTGTTATATGAAGATGCATGGTCTTCGAAAATTATTTTCAAAGAAAAAAAAAAAGAGAAGAATTTTTCTTTTGTATATTTGCAAAACAGATGATTTCGTTTCATTCATTAACAACAACAAAAAAAAAGAAAAAAGGGAAAAGAAAAGAGAAATAAATTTAGCAAAGAATAGCAGAAAGCAAGAGACAAAATTTGCTTTCATTGAGCTACAATAAATATATATCTTACTGAAATAAAATATTTTCAAGATATTATTACGGTAATCATATTTCTATGTATCCATGTAGGTGAAATTGTTTTTAAGAAATTTATAATACATATGCAGTCTACAATATTTAATGTTATAATCTACATGAAAAGAACTTCAAAAAGGTTTTTTTTTTGTTTTTTTTTGTCTTTTGTTAACCTGTATCATTTACCTTCTACATCTAATATATGTAGCAATTTTTTAATACAATTTTCTCATTAATAAATAAAGCTACTCAAACATATTCTCTAAACAAAAAACGAATATTTTATATAATAAATGTATAGGCGTATTTTTCGAAAAGGTAATAATGAAATGTTGTTATCAATTTCAACTGAGGAGAAAGAAACCAAAAATGAATCAAAGAGACTTTCATTTCAATAATGTTGAGAGTAAAGAGGATTTTTACCATGTAAATCTTTAATGAAGAAAAAAAAAAAAATGATTGATTTTTCAAGATTGAAAAACGCTTTTTTTTACCCCTTTTTTTTTTGTCTTTTGAACATAATTCTATTCTATTTTGACTATCCTTGAATTTTTTCATACTATTAATAGAATTTACCACTTTCTTCTATATACGAATAATTCTATGAAAATGTATTTTTTTTTTGAATTTGGTTCATTTTTCGAACAACTTGTAGAGTGAGAGACATATGTTCGAATGTAGACAGAATGTTCCAAGTATCGTTAATATGAGTTATAGACATCAAGAGTGATCAATATAACTGAGGATTTTTATAGATTGTTGCCACTTTTTGTGTACCGACGGTATCTATCATTTAATATTGATTATAAGTGAAATTATAATTGATCATAGACTCTGAAAATCCAGGTCCACCAGAATCCTTTTGAATCATGTTTCTAATTTAGACAAAAATTATGATTCTTATAAAATGCATCTGTAGGCTAATAAATCTTGTTTTATATTTTAAAATTTTTTTTGTAAAAAACAAAATATTTGTTTTAGACGTATACGATGACACATACGTATACAGAGAGAAGCCAAATCAAAATTTTACAATACATTTTACCTTTTTTCATTCATTACCCTTCTCTTTTCGTCAGATTATGTTACATGTTTTATGTGTAGCCATAAGTATTCTCAAACGATTCTTCTTTTCTCGCTTTCATTTTTTCTTTTCATCATTCTCTCTATATGTATTTTTTAACAAAAATCCGATAATAATCAACGACTATAGAGATCTCTCTTTTTTTTTAGTGTTACGATACTTTTTTCTCATCTATTTGACATTATGTTAATAATTTTTTTTATCATACTGTACATCCCAGTGGAAGAAGTATAGAAGAAGAAAAAGCGAACCCAAAAGACATCGTAGGCTATAGATCTGAGAAAAGAAACGAGGAAAACACATTAAGAAGGAAAATAAGAGAAGGACGACACTAATGAAACAGTTTTTTCACTCATATATAGCGTTTCTTTTTTTTTGTTCTATTTTTTTGTTAAAAAAAAAAATAAATAAATAAACTACACGTTTTTCTCTCTCTTTTCTCTTTTATTGCAGAGAATTATCTCCATTTTTTTCTTTACTCTTTTCGGACGATTATATCTGTTTATGTACATTAAAAATTGTTCAAAACTTTTATATCTCTTTGAAACCAATATCTCGACTAATGATTGATCATTAAAAATGAATACTCAGCTCGATATTACATCGTACTATGCTACACTTCCATCAATTTTCGATCAATCTTCGGACATCTACACTACATCATCGAATGTAATTGAACATAAATCTTTGAATCAGCCAATGTTTGGTTCATTCACATTTAGTAATAATACTGCGGATCCATTCATAAATGCGGCATTTGTCTCGTCTGAAGAGCCATTATCATCATCTATAAAAACATCAGATAATAGACTCGATGACATGTTTTATGATAATAAAAATGAACTAAATAATCAAAATGAAACTATTTCCCAAAATGAACTAATCGATACGAACTTAAATAATTTATCGTGTTCAAATTTATTTCAAATAATAAACGATATAAATGCTTTATCAACATCCAGCAGATATTCTCTAACTGAACTAGATGAAAATTTAAAGAATAATAACAATAGAGAAGAAGAAAATCCTATTAATCATAATGTTGATATAAACGATGATGATAACACACCGTCACAAAATTCAGATGATATTGATCTCGATATAGAAGATGATTTTGACAATATACCCGTTCGACATAGTTTAACAATATCCAAAAAAATAAATGGACACAATGATCTATTACACTCTCATGATCATGAACCGACAATTGATTTTTCAGTTTTAACGATAGCACAGGAAGAGATAGAAGATGAAAATTATACAAATGGTTTTGATCTTGGTGAACCAATAGCATTGAGTCAATCACCATATGCTAGTGAACATTATAGTGAACTCAATGATTATTCTTCAACACTAATACCATCTCAACTAAGAATAAATAAATCAAACATTTTAACTGGAAATAGTATAAGAGATATTGATGATGAAGAAGAAGATGTAGACGACTATGATCTAAAAGTTTTGTCATTATCGAGTATGTCAAAATCTAGCAGTATGAATTTATCGTTTGGTAGTGAATCATCGTCAGACTCATTAAATCAAGCAGAAACAATTGATATTAATTCAAATGAAAAATTAATTGAAGATGATGATGACGTTATGACTTGGAATGATGAAAATATTCTTACATCTTCATTAAAAAACACTATAAAAGATATCTCGCCTCCTAACATTAGACTAAATGATAATGTTAGCTTTATGGACTCATCTAAAACTCCATCGGAATGTAGTGAACGTTTAAGTATTGGCTATCAAGATGAGAAAGGTAGTGATTATGAATTAACAGACAGTGAAGGTATTGACTATGATCCATTAGATGATCAACATTCAACAGGAAGTCTACAAGAAGCGTTTGCTAATGATGAATTTAATACTGATAAAAGACATGATTCACTGGTAGAATCGACTAAACAAATTAGTAAAATCACAGACATATCTAAGACTGATGATATTCATTTTACAAATTCTTCTCATTCTGATACCAGACTAATTATTCGTGACGATGATTTACCTATTACCTATATAAGTTCAGCTCGTTCACCGATTAGCGATTATAACGATTCTGATTTAAAACTTGAAGTTCACCTTGAAGATGATACAAATCTATCACAACAATTATCGTCTTCTCTACCTTCAATTATGAGTTCTTCATTTTCCTCCACTTCATCAGAATTATCCAATATCGATGATAGTTTGACGCATCATAATATGGAACAAGATAACAGTATTATTGTAGCCATGGATGCTGATGAAATTGATGACAATAATGAATCTTTTGGTTCTACAAATTATTCGGAACCGAGAATAGTCTATCCATCATATCATAATGATGTCATTGAAAATGATTCATTAGAACACGAATCTAATGATCGTGTTATGGCACCAATGGCCACAACTGAATTCGAAGACGATAGTAATATTTCTCGAATAGAACCGAATGACGTTTCTACTATAGACATGTTGAAACAACAATATATGAGCGAAAATACTGTTTTTAAAAATTTACTTCTTACCCGATCTTTATCACCATCTAATAGCAATTACTTTACCGATCTGCGAAATATTAGTCGTACAGCCGGTATTGTTCAAGATGTTTTGAATTTGAGGAATTTAATAACTGAACATGAAAATGATGATGAATTCGTAGCTGTTATGCATAATCCAACAATGTTTGAAGAAATATTACACAACAATGATATTCAACAGATTCAAACAAATAATGACAATGAAAATAATGGTGATAAAAATTCTATCCAGGTATTATTACGAAATAAAAATCATTAGGTTTTTACATGCCTGAGAAATGAACTTAGATTAAAACTCATACTTTTAGAGAAACTCATACCCATACCTATAGTTCGATTTAATTTGTACTTTAGACTATAGAATCCTTTTTGTGTCAGTCAGAAGTTTTGAGTTATGATAATGACGTGAATGCTGTTACAACAATAAGAATGGTCTTTTTTTCTGTTGGTGCGTCACCTGACGCTTATGCAGCAACAACAATGAATAATAATAGGAATAAACCAGCCGTATACTTTATTTTTTATGTTGTCATTGTAGAAATCAGAATTACCCACGCAAGAAAATCGAGATCTATTGAATTCTGTTTCAACGAACGAGTTTCCATCAACATATAATAACGTTACTGATAGTCACAACGAAATATCTTATACAACTACAGTATTATCATACACAACAAATGAAAATGATTCTGACACTAATGATAGACATAAATCTATAACAACTATAGTCAATAACAGTACAGAAGAGAAGATAGAGAATGAAACAGATAACAATAGTAATAACAACGACAATATTAATAGTAAAAACAGTATCGAACAGTTAGTGTCAATATTTAACGCTATTCGTTCACAGTTGGATATGGATCTTAACGAAAACAACTCTAGTTCCGATGATGATGATGATTTATTGCAAACACTAGCTAAAATACATTCCATTAACGAAAATGTTAATCGAACACTCGTCGAAAAAGAATTAAAACGTCATGGGGATGATATTTTATTTGGTATAAAAACAGACGCTCAAACTTCTACTGCTAACTTATTTCCAGATCGACAACGGGACATAAAACATGTAAAAGTGCAACAAACACTCGACCAGAAAGAAGAAAATGTCATTTTTAATGACAAAAATCTAAAACAACCATTATCGTCACCTTTATTAGAACAAGGAAAAAATAATCCAGAAAACCATTTCTTCAAGTTGAATGAATATCAGTTTATTCTTTCTCATAATGACAATCATTACAACACTAACGTCCTTAACACTGAAAAAAAAGAAGAAAATGCCAATATAAAACGAAAACAACAGAATGAAGAAAATAAATTATTTGACAATTCCTCACTATTAACATCACATACAGGTGATGCTATAAAAGAAAAAAAAACGGAAACATTTTTACAAGGCGACATAAACGACGAGGATAGAAAAGAAAAATATATTCTTTTTACAAATCAAATAAATAGTGATGTTGAGGACGATGACATAAAAAAACAAGACGTCTTTTCACATGAGCCACAACAACAACAACGAAAACAAAACATAGAAGAAAAAGAAGAGAAAAATATCACATCAAAATATCTGCAATCGAATAACAATAATACTAACAATGATTCATCTACAAGTACTTCTTTTATACCATTTGGACCAGTAGACACTATTACGACTGCTGTTTTTTCTTCTGCAAACGTCAGCGATAAACACTTAAAATTGAATGAAATTAGTGATAATAATACGTCTAATACCTTCACAAATATAAAAAATCATATTATGGATACATCATCAGATACATCAACCATAATACACAATGAGTCACAACAATCAACAGAAGGAGTTTTACAAATACCATCAGCTGTCATGTTAAATCCGTCCAATAATAAAACAGTAACACATTTGAATGACGATGATGTTTTTGTTGAATCAAAATATGCTGATGTTCAACAATTTCCCATGAGATCAAATTTTTTACCATCAACTGTGAAGGAACAATCTCCAACAGTTCAAAATAGTGATGATGATTCATCTGTACAAAAATCAATAAATGATTTGGATACACTATGGAATCAAACATTGTCTTATTTACCAGATACCAAACAATCTAATCATACTAAAAACGAAAATCCATTTGAGACATTCACTGTCAATAATAATCCATTTAGTTCATCTCCATGGAATGATATATTTCAAACAACAACAGAAACTAAACAACCTAATGAAATAAATGATATTAATCAATGGTTAGATTATACTGACGATGAAAGAAAGAAATCAGATGAAACGCAAAGTTCTTCAATGCCATCAATGATTCATCACGCGAATAATTCATTATTATTAGATTTCAGTGACGCAGACAATAGTAAACAAGTCAATAATACCGTACATCAACTTAATGAACATTCTATTGATCCATTTTCATTGAATCTCAATTTTAATTCTAATCAATTAGTAGATGAATTAGAAAAAACGTTTGGTGAACAAGATGAAATATTTAATGAACATTCACGAAAAACAGATGAATATATCAGTACTGTGAAAGATAAACAAGATGATTTTCCTTCGTTAATTAAAACGAATAAATCTGATCATGTTGAAAAAATCGATTCATCTAGTGATGCTATTACGCAAGTAAATCCTATCAACAAGGACGTTACTATTAGTTCACTCGTTATTCAACCAACTGATAAAACGCAAAAAGTCGAGCAGACGACCACTATCATCGAACCGATTCTAACACCCCATAGAAATCCTACGACGTCACATGAATCCACAATAACTCCAATATCTGAGCAGAATGAAAGATTGACAAGTAGTGATGTTAGTACCATTACACATTTAAAAGAAGATCATGGCACACACATTGCCAATACTATTGAATCTGATAACTATTTCGAATCACAGTCGGACAACGATAAAAATTATTCTCCACAACATAATATGAAAAAGAATATTTTTGATGAAATAGAATCACAAAATTTCAACAATAACAGTTATGGGCTCGCATGGAACACTGTATTAGAAGGAAGCAAACAGACAACATCGACTATAAATCCCTTCGACGATACTGTTAAACTTTCGGATGACATGTTGAACCAAAAAACACCAAATGAAATGTATGACCATCAGAAACTTATAGAATTGCCTTCAACAGAAGCTTTTACGTGGGAAGCACTCTTCAATGATACGAATGATACAAAAAGCATAACGTCTAATTTAATAGATAGTTTAGACCAATTACCTGATGATACGACGATAGGTCTATCGGATATAGTTGATTGGCATGTGAAGAATAAAAGTGTCGAACAACCTCTATTGAATTACATCGATTTACACTCTCAGTTAAAGGACACTGATAATATTCAGACAATCTTAGACTGGCATCAAACGAATAATTCAATATTAAAAACAGATAGTGCTCTATCACTCAATAATTACCTAAATTGGTTAACTAAACATCTGGATGAGAATATTTTATTGGATAAAAAACAGGATACTGTTCCGAATTCTGACCTTTATGAGGAGACAAACAATTTAGCTAATATAATCCTTCAACATCAAAATATGACTCCATCCGTTAAAGATACCATCGATAGTAAGCGTAATATTCAAAATTTAAGTAATAATGTAGAATGGCATGATGAGAAAGTTGACAATTTATACGGCATTGTGGAGTCTCATATACGTGAACCAAGTGCACATCAATTACAGTATCAACATGATAATCCGTATGATTCTAAAAGTGATGATGATGACCAAGACGTCGTCTACTCTTATGATATCAACGAAAATAGCTTTAACGAAGTATCAAATACTGATTCTCACAGCAGAAGTACTGACGCAGTGGAATTCGATGAACTCGTTAAGTTAGATTCGCCTGAACAATTTCAGAAAAATCACTCATCAGAAAATTTGACATCTATAATGGATTCTACGAGCCAATTACAATTACATGAATCTCATAATTTATTTACAATTGACGAATCTGATTTAGATAATGACAGTGGATTGCGAAATCAAGCTTTAGACGAAAACGTTTTAGTTGAACCGCAATACGTTGAAGTACAACAATCTAGCAAAATCGATAACCTTCATTCAATTGTATCTGCACATCAAAATTTACCAGAAAAAATGGTGCCGATAGATAATCTTACTACTATTATGCGGTCAGTTCAAAACATTAATACATCAAAGGCATCAACTGACTATTTTACTACAAGCGTTGATGAACATAATCATTTGGCAGAAAATATGTTCGCGGAACCAATAGAAAACATTAGTTCAATTGGCGAACAAATATACACAAACAATCTGCCTACCACCACGACTTCAGAAAACGATCTTAAAATAAATAATATCGCTTCTATACTTCAACAGATTCATACACGACAAATGGAAACGTCAAGTCTGGAGAAACCGACTATTGAGAATCTAACAAATAATACCACCGAGGATAATCATCTATTACCACATGAAACAAATTTACTGGAAAAATTCGATTCAAACAAATCGCCAGTGATAGATGATTTAACATCACTTCTGAAATCTGAAAAGATGCACAGATTGGACGATTCTGTTCTATCGGATAATCTAACCTCTATTATGCAATCGATGATAGTACTTAACGAAGTGTCTGATGATATTGACAATAAAAAAACCATACAAGACTCTGATATTCCATTACAACAGCCGGATAGTGAACAATATAGAATAGTAGTTGACAAATTAGTATCCGATACTTTACAAACCGCCTATTCTGAAGTTAGCAAAGATGTATCGATTGAAAATTTAGTTTCAATTGTAATAGCTAATAATAATATATTTTCAAATCATATTCCAGTCGAACATTTAGCTCAAATAATTCAACAAGTTAAATCCCAGCAACAACCTCTAATATCTTCGACTGAGCTACATATTCTGGATGATGAAGAGTTGTCTAATATGAGAAAGGATGATCATGCTCTACCAACAAATTCAAATGAAATGAATGTATCACAAAATCTTGATCCATTTGATCCTAAATTTAGTACTCCATGGAATAATTTTACTACAGTATCACAAGATCCATTTGAAAACTCCTTGGCAACTCATCCCGAACATTCTTCAGATCCTTGGAAATATGATAATTCTAATAATCAGTTAGAATCCGCTGCTGTTGTTGATCCAATGTCATTCTTTACTAACACAGTCGATTTCACCGATGATAACTTCATCCAACCTCTCGATCAAAATATGACTGATATACTAGCAAACTATTTACCAATAAGCTCTGGACAACAACATTCTAATAATTCATTAAACCACAGTTCAACACCGATTGATAAATTGAATAGAACCACAACACCGACAGACGAAGACGATTCATTTAGCGACTTTAAAGCACGTTTGCCTGTTGATCAATTAGGAACGAAAATGAAATATTCTTTTACCGCTCCAGTTATAGATGACAGTGCCGATGAAAGCTCGACATACGATGATCAGTCAGTGAAAAAGGTAACAATAGAAAGATATTACAATAATTTCTGTTTTCTATTTGGAATATTTATTTATAGTTTTTAACTTATTAACTGAATTTATTTATATATCAGTGTATTTATCAGACATCACACTATTTTCGCTCAATGAGCTTCGCTAATTAATTTGTTTTGCTCAATCATTTTTCACATTTCCGCTTAGCAGAATTTGTGATTGTCAAATCTTTTTATTTTTTCATTGAGCCGCTTATGGTTGTTGTTGTTTTTATTACATTTGTTTTTTTGTTTTAGAACGAGATAGGTGCTGCGGCTGATGACCAAGTTTTAAAAACACCAAATCAATCAGAAATTATTCATTCACAAGTACTTTGCAACACATCATAAAGCTTTACTATTGTCACAAAAGATAACCATAATTTGTTTGTTTTAGACGGATAAAATTCAAACCATTGATAGTGATGATACGGATTCAGACGACCAACAGCCCACCGATTTTGAAATTTCTGGTAGTGATTATCCTCTGAACGCTGACGCGGAAGATTTTACTTCAGTGAAATCTAACCTTAATCAACAATCTTCTCCAAACAAAGACGATGCCTGGACCACTAATAATGAACAAAAAACACAGAAAACTCTCCTTCTTGGCGATGAACCGTGGGAGCTTGATTTACCCTCAACAAAAAGTCCATCAACTCCGCAACTTCAGAAAACGACCGATCCTCATACTAACTTCTTTATGGATACATTTAATCCTACGAATAAATCTCCGACGCCATCAGCATCAACAGAAGATTCTAAAACAGCCGCTGCTCTAGATGATGTAGAAGAACAGGATGATTATGACAATTATTTTAAATCAATAAATGCTGCTAAACATGATCAACAACTGCCATTGAAAACAGTTCGATTCGATGATAATGTTGAAAATCGACCAATTACACCAAAAGACAGTTTAGAAGCAACATCGTCCTCATCCTCGTCATCATCTGATGTATCTGCTGATAACGAAGTGGATATTAATTCTCCATCCGACTTACATGATGCTGATCGAATAACATACCATATGGAAAATATTCCATCAGTAACTAATGGAAAAGATGAAATAATAGAAATGAATCGGTTTGACAAAGAAAGAATGAGTGATCAATATCTTTCAAAGGTATGCGTTAAATATTTTCAATTATTTTAATTCTTTGAAAAAAACTGGCGAACAAGCAAAGGACATTAGAGAATATCTATGACATTTGTCTTTTAGAATTAGTTTTCGTTACGGTTGAATTTTCAACTTTAATAAATTTTTTATTGTTTCTAACGACAACGAATGAGAGATCTTTTTTCTGTTTTAGAAAACGCCTACAGAACCCTTACATGAAACAACAGAAATCACGGCAACAAATATTTATCGTACAAACACTGAAAGTTCGTCTGATGAAGAAGTAGAAACTAAACCATCGACTGTCTCAAAGGTTAATATTCATAAACCATCAGGTAATTCATTTGAAATTTTACGCAGACTCATTTACGTTTTATGTTTGTGTTGTTTGATGTTAATTCAAATGAATTATGTCATTTTTGTTTTACTATAGATGACATTAGTCTCACACAATTACCACTTTCTATTTCAAATGATGATTCAAAAGAACAGATACAACAACGAGTATACTCTGATAACACTGCTAATATTACACCAGCAACTGTACCCGATGTGCAAAATCGAAGGAATACAGATTCAACTCCGGGACTTATATCCGAATCAGGTAAGTGAGAAAAAGAATTAATTGTTAAATTGATGACGGAAATGTTGTTCTAATACACGAAATGGAGTTGCCTGTCTTGGTAATTGTTGAGATATTATTCTTGGATTTATGAATCGATATTGTACAGGCAGATGACTACGGCGTAGATGAGCATTGTACATGGCAGTGTATTTTAAATGTTGTTCAAGTAACAATTGATTTCTGTCCGAACGTACTGCTTTGAGATTAATATTACTATGACTGCGTGCAAATGGATTATGTTGATCCTCGCACAATATTTTAGATGGAGACAAGTCGATAGTCTCAGATGTTTTTAATTGTCGATGTAAGCATGAATCATGCTTCTTATTGGTTGAAGTGTTAGATGTCACATACGAGGGTTGTTGTGCAGTAATTGTTGCACATTGACGTACTATTCTAGATGGTTGTGCAACTGCTCTCTGTAGTCCTTGACGTATTCTACATTGTGCTTCTGAATGACTTGAGTTCTTATGTACTTGCTGGGATGAACGAATAGGACCATTTTGTTCCATATTGATCTTTGATTTTTGATGATTTTGTCCGTCACCGATATGAGTTTTTCCTCTTACTTCGTCATAGATTTCCAATATATCTGTAACAGTTAATGAACGATATATTTTGTCTAATCCTGCTGCTAAATTATTATTTTCCAGACGAGATTTTATTAATGATTCAGTCTTTGTTTGGGTAGTTTTTTGCTTTGGTGGTTTATGTGATGCCCGACACTTTTTAGACGCATTGAACTAAAACGTAGAAAATGTTCTAAACATTTTAAATTTGTAACAAATGAATATGTCTTACTTGAGTAGAATCAACATTGTTTTCTCGTTGTGTTTGTGAAGTAGATGATGGTTGAAATTGTTGCTTTAAGTCTTTCTGTTGTGTATCTCGTTTTACCACAAATTCTTGATTACTTTTCCGTTCAATATAATCAAGATATTGTATCAATTTTTCATCATCACATATGTTTCCTTTAAGTATTTCGTTTATATCAAATGGATATTGTGGATTCTTGTTGCCGGATTGGTTATTTTTTAATTGTTCTTGTTGTTCTCCATACTGATCAATTTCCACAGATGATGTTTTTCGCGATGATACGTCTTGTTTACGATCTTTATAATTATTCTGTTTCGGGTAATTTGAATTTGCTTTTTGATTTCGAGTCGTGTTAGCAATAGTTGTTTGCGCCGTATTTAATCGTGATTTCAATTGTGTATAATCGTTTTTTTTTTGCATATTCTTGAAATATTTACTATTAGATTGTATAATTCCATTTTCATCAATGTACCAATCACCACTAATTATTTCATTGATATACGTTGGCGGTTTTGAATCATCATAAAATGCCGCTGATGAAGAAACCGTGCTTTTTTTATCTGTGAATTTTATGTCACCATTATAAATATCTTTTTTCAACGATTGGGAAGATGCAATGTTTATGTGTGTTTTATGAAGAGTATCCGAGAGAGACAAATCCTTCTCAATAGATTTTTTTTTAGAAGTAAATGGCTTTTCAGATTCATTTTCAGAAACCGCTTCAGTTATAATGGGTCCAGTCCAATTTTTGTTTTTAATATAATATTCTTCATCACTTTCATACAGACTGTTGTTATTATTATAATTTTCCGTATCTGAATCTTGTTCATCATCAACATCAACAGTCTGTGGCGATGTTCCATTAATCGTAGTTTTCTCGATACTAACAGCAAATGTTTGCTGTTTCGATTTTCGTATACATGTTTCATTGTCTTGTTTATTTACATCGTTTGATTTTGGTTTAACAGATATATTAATAACATATTTTTCCTCGTAAACACATTGTGGTTGTTTTAAGTTTTCATCGTAATAATCATTCGTAGGCGTTTCATTTTGTGTTGAAAGTGGATAATCAGGTTTGCTTTCAAATTCAGATTGCTCAGTAATGATGTCTATTTCCTGTTCAGGATCATCACTGTTGTTGTTCTTCTTGTTTACATCATTGAGAATGGCAACACTATCATCAACTGTGATTAATTGTTCATCACATTTATTATAATTAACTTTGACATCATAATGCCCATGTAAAAAAAATTTTAACAAATCATCTTCACATTTCTTCTTTATTGGTTGATTAATCAAATTTACCATCTTTTCAAAATATTCACCAGTCATGATCTGTTTTTTAAATCAAATATGGCGAATAAATATTTAAAAACTTTATATATTCAGCTAAATGAAACAGTTTTTGTATTTTTGTATAATATACACTAATAAGTAAAAAATCCTCCACCTTTTTTTTTTTTATTGAACCATTGCATACTCATTTGATTATATTGTGTCGTATACCGATGAATTATGAGCATGTTCATATGTAATACGAGAAGAACGAAACATATATTTGGAAAAAACCTTAACTTCTTCATGGTTCTTTAGGCAAACGACAAAATGTAGTAGTTACATCATAATAGTCGTTGTAGCGTTAATAAATACTCAAAATTATTAGGACACTATCGATATAAATAGTATCATATGAACGAAAGCTACAATCTATAGTTTCTCAGATTGCTAACAAAAAACGATTTTATTTTGCGATGTGTTTTTAATTGAAATCACTACAGTCTTTTTAATCACTTTCTAAAGTATTCAGATAATGATATATTTTAATTCCTTATTAAAGTATTAACAGTATGATCAACGAGCATTTTTCTCTTTACTTTTCACATACACAAAAGATAATTGCTGATCTTCTTAATGTGAAAGTGAAAAAAGACAGTACGGTGGTGTAATTAAAAGCGTATGCGTTAATAATAATTTTGAAGGTTAAATTTTTTCATTTTAGTTTTTCATTTTTCCAGTCTACAAGCACAAATTAATTCAGTATAGCATTCTAAAGCTTAAACTATCGAAGAACAGAGAATTTATTTTGTTCGAATACGGAGTCGAACTAATAACCTTTAAGTCTACAGAACTAAATTCGCTGTTTCGAGTTTATGTGCTGTACAACAATTTATGTGCAAAGTGGACTCGACGTTGTCAGTGTGGCATTGTTGATAAAAATAGCTCGATACCCGACTCCAAGACACTTTCTATTGTGTTAAATCGAGCACTCTTTTATATCCCTATGAAGATGGTTGAGCTAAGCACTCGTTTGATGGAGAAGGTGAGCACTTTTGTTCATAATTGTTATCTGACAATGATAGGGCTGATGTTTCATTTTTCGTACTTTCATATGTTACTTCTGTTAGAGGAGAAGGATTTAATTGATAGTTTTCTGTTGATTCTTGAACAACCACTGTTGTTGTTTCGATTTCATCTGTTGTTTGAGGTTCTTCTGATATATTGTAGTAAAAATCCAATATGTCTGAACTTCGTCCTGGAACTGATGAACTAATCGAAATGGTTTCAACAGATTCTCGTCTAACACATAAATATTGCCTTGTAGTATTATCATTAAACTCTGTTTCATTTGACACATTCAATATTACTGGTGTTTGTGATGTAGTTAAGAGTGACATAAACGGATTAGCTTCAACATTGTCTCTTTTCATAACTAGAGACGATAATGTACTCGCTGAGGGCTGTTTCACTTTACTTGTGGTGATTGATTTTAAGAATGTTTTTCGATTACTACTGGTATTTGTATCATCTGATGTTTGCAAAAATATTGACGAGGTATTATTCGTCGTTATTCCACCGTATTTCTGTTTGCTATTTTCTATTCTTGGTGCTGTCGAATGTTCACCTTGAATAATTCGCTGTAGTTCGGCCGGGGCCACAGGTGTGTAGGGAAGAACTAGACGTCCCGCCTGGTATGCTGATAGCGATATTCGACGATGCGACTTTTTTTGTCGACGATAATAAAAAATTTCAACTTTACTGATGATAATGCGAATTAATGCGAGACAAATGAGTATAGAAATCATAGGCATTACACCAAATATAACAGCGCGTAAAGCACGATTAAGACATTCAGCACCGCATATTGAAGTCTGTTTTAGAGTAGTTGTCAATATTGTTAGAGGACTAGTTGAATCAGTTGTAGTTGTATAAAAAAGCATTACAATGTCTAAACACAGATGTAAGTAAAATATGATCTAAGTTGTAGTATAGACGTACCTCAGCTCTAGTTCAGTTGAAGAAACAATATTTAACTAAATTTATTTATCTAATAAAACTTTTCACGTAAAATAATGGTCAAATAAATTGGAATACTTTATATAGGTAATATGGGTTTGATTTTTTTCTAATATTAGTTATTTAGATAGAAAATAACGCGAATTTGGTGCTTTTATTTCTATTTTTTGCTGTTTTTTTCCTTTTTTTTTCTCTCAGAATACAGTTGGTGCAGAAAATAACAAGCAAAACGTTGTGGTCATATAAGATAATTAATCATTGCTTAGAAAAGTTTCCTTGATAATTTTAACTGTATTAACTGTTTGTTCTGTTGATTCCTACATAGCGAGCGCATTTATAATCATAATAACAACAACATACGACAATTTTTGCCTTCTTTGCATGAATAAACTTACATATCATATTAATAAACATTTTCTTTTATCGTAATGTTATCAGTGACATATATTCTGTATATTGTTAGAAAGTTATCATTTAACAGCTACCCACGATTTGTTGTCATCGTTAATGATACAACTACACATAATATTTACAATAGGTTTTTCCATGCAGCATTTAAGTATTCATAGGTAGTCGATGTACAACATGAATATATTGATAGAGGATACATGTTGTACAACGTTTCTGTTATCAAAGTTGTTTTTTCGGATTTTTACATAAAACTAGTTCCGTTTATAATCACTCAGTTTTATAAATTAATAGTCTAGGTATTCGGAAAAGAAGATTTGCTCTAATTTAACTTAATTATACCTTCTGTGATACCACTTTTTCTGTCAGATTCAAATATTGAATCGTTAAATTGTCGAATCTATTATTATCACATCATTGAATTAATAAACATTTATTAATTTTTTTACAAGAAAATTTTGGAAAAAAACTTTAAACAACATGAGGTATGGTCGAATCTGTATCATCTACCACTGATGGATTGGAAACGATTAAACATTGATCGGAACAACGACTAATAGTAAATTGTTTTTTCAATTGACACGTATAATATTGTCTTGATAGATGAACACAACAAGTTAAAATAATGTAAATAATAAGTGCCACTAGTAGAGGAGTGAAACTAAGTATTAATGTTTTTTTAAATGTATCACCCACATGTTCTTCTTCATTATGTATGTTACCATTCATTATATCTAACTTGACGATAAAAAATGTTTACCTAAACAAAAGGAAAACAAATAGATTTATAATTATTCACTTAATAGATGAATAAAGAATATGTTTTTTTTGTTTACATATCTAATTCTTACCATAATTATTTTAATAATTAATTATTAATGGAATAAATTAAAAGATTATACTTTTTTTATAATATTTATTTATGAGTATAGAAAATACATTATATTAATTGTCAACTCATGTGTTTTTCTAGGAATAACAAGAATTCATGTATAAGTTCAATCTTTTTATGATTTAATCATATACTCTACTTTAGATCAGACAAATTTTTATAGAACAAATAAAATTCTTTTTCTTGACGTTTTATTTGTTAAACTTATAAAAATTTTATTTTACGACTATTCAATTAGAGTTTTTTGATATGACAAACGTTTTACTCGAGTATCTAGTTCAAATCGGATTATTGTTAAGTGGCTAGTAGAAGAAAAAAAAGACGATAGTGACGACAAACATAGTTCATATTTTTTTTCTTTTTCTATTTTATATATGTGTTAATGAGCGTATTTTTCTTTTTCTTATGTGTTTATGATCTTTAATATTTAATTTCCGTTTTCCTCCCTAGTTAGAGAAAGATTTTTATATTTCTAAACCCGCTGATGAAAATATTTTCTTACAGATAAATGCACAGTTTTTCGTGGAAATGAAATGAGTTCTTATGAACAAACGATAACAAAGAAGTGTCGGAAAAAAAAGAAATGAGGTTATTCTACCGAAAAAGAAAAAGAGATTCGTCTAAGTTCCATAAAGTCATAACGTATTTGTAGTAGATTTTGAAGGATTATTGGCAACATAGTTTTCCAAAAGTTTAAACTATGAGCAAGAAGATTTCTTTCGTTCATTTTCTATCGACTCTTATACACAGAGTAAACAATCATATTTGCCCTAATACGTACGCTTAAATCGAATATCAATTAGTAGTCTGATACACTAAATAGGCATTCAAGTTTCAGTCGTGCATAACTATTTATTTAGTCGTTGTAGTAAACAATGTTTTAAATATAACCTATTTATTTCTTAAGATTTTTCCAAAAAACAATTTGAATAATTTTCGTGCGTTATTCATTTGCGTGTACCAAGTTTATTAGAACTCTCAGATACAAGACATACTCATGATAAATCATGAAATACGTGATACTGCATAAAGTTTTTATAATTAATATTGACCTAGATTTCTAGTTTATGTTTCTCACTAACGATGTTTAGTTTAGCTCAAAAAAAATTTTAAAAGAGTTCCGGATTGTCTGCATATTGTTTATGTATTCTTTATATGAATTTATATTGAAAAGAAGAAGGATGTCATGTTCATTTCTATAACATGTGAAAGATTTTTTTATTCAAATAATACATGCAATTAAGAATTGGGTAGACTGTCAGAAACGCTTGATCGGAGTGTCAATAAAATATAATAGAAATATGCGCTTGTGTTTACATTATTTTTTTATTCAATTTTAATTTAAGAATAACAAATAATTTGTTAAGAAAACGCAATCGTTATCAAGCGACATCTTAGATGTCGCTTCTGTTTATAGAGGCTTAAAAAAATTAGTTTTTAACTAGATTGTTTTGTCTATTTTTAGCGCTTTTACGTTCAACATCTCAAGACATCGATTCGGAAGATGAAAAAGAAGGTTACATTTCTTGTGTGATTGATCAAACTACGGTAAGCATTGATGCCAAAATAATCAAACCGTTCAAGGGTGTCATTGCACAAGGAGGTGAGATAAAACTGAATAGAATAACATTGATTCAGATACTAAAGAGTCGAGATTTGATTTTATAATAGGAAATCTTCAAGAAGAAAATCAGACAGCAATAATAGCAATATATGGTTGCTATTTACCGGACCGTCGACTTCGAGAATATCGCTATATTATTGATCAACTTTTCTAGTAAGTTTCATGTTTCTTACAATCTATATTTCATTTATTCATCTACTGACTCCATGTTTTAGTTATGTTTATCATAAACTCGAAAAAATGGTTACGAATGATTATGTTCTAGTATACTTTCACGGCGCAACACCTAAACATAGAATGCCCGATCTAAAATTTCTGAGAAAATGTTATCAAATGATTAATCTAAGGTATAAATCAGTCGAATATACATAATTTCTATGATGAAAACTTAGTTTCATTTTAGACTTCGTAAAAATCTTCGATCCGTTTATGTTGTTCATCCAACGCGATGGTTACGAACCGTTATTGCTCTATCACGACCATTTTTTAGTAATAAATTTTATCACAAAGTACGCTATATGTATACAATAGCCGAACTTGAGAGGCAATTACCAAATAATCACTTACAAATACCCGATATGGTTGAACAGTAAGTAAAATAGATTTAAGCACTAATTATAGAATAACGTATCTCTTATTTTATAACATATCAGACTTCATATCTAATAGCATCGTTTTTGAGTGCTAGATGTAAATAGTCTATTTTTCTATACTCTATAGACACAATCAATCGGTGTATATTGTTCAATAAACTATGAGGTAGAATATTGTACATGTAAAAGTTTTGTATTAAACATATTATATGTATGCTTTCTCTGTGTCTGTGCGCAGTATTATATCTTCTTCGGAATATTTGTGGTTCACTGCTTTTCTCATTGTAAATCTAACGAATTTAGTCATACGATCTGTGAAGGCAACGAGAGATTATTATTTTGGGTATATATTATTTTGGCAATCAATAATTTTGCTTGCTTATGTCTTTATAATTATTATTTGCGTTTTATCTAATTCAAAGCTGTGCCTTACATTAAAAAGTTTAAACATTTTTCCAGCCTATAGGTAGATATATTTTACGCAAAAATGATACTCGAGATGAAGTAAGAATTTTCTTGTAAAATCATTGTATTCAAGATGAAATACTTGTTCATATAATCTTGAACTATACAACATAGTCATTGTTGTATTTACAGATGAAGGATATCGACTTATTGTCTTATCAGAGCAACGGTATTTATACCGAAGTAACGATTGTCTATTTTAAATATCGCTCGAAATCTGACAATTTCGTTTTTTCTTATATAACAATTTCGTCCTAAATGAGACATATATAACGGTAGTCAAACGATATCCGTTTTACTTGGATAATTTATTTCTTTTGTAGCCATGATACCATTTATCGTTTGGAATATAGGATAAATAGACAAATGATGACAAATCACGATTAATACAGAGTACTTGATAATAATACTTAGATAAAAAAAATACTGCACACACAAACAAATAGTGTTTTAGCACGTTTGCAGTTTGTATCATGTGTTAGCCATTTTTGACGCTATCTTCTTAATACCACTAACATCATCTTATTATTGTGATTAATATATCATGTATATATTATTACTAACTTATAAAGTGTTCAGTTTGATGTTGTAGTGTTTCGTTCGAAAACAAATCTTCTTTTAACTGTGTTTGTGTTCTCTCTTCCAAGTACGCGCGCACCGTACTGTATACTTGTTCCTGTAAAAGTTTCGGATACAAATCTTTCTAATCACTAAAAAAAGATAATTTTCAGACTCTGATCAGTACCCTTAAGATTCCTTCATTTCTCAACCAACATACAATATACAAAAACTATGTACAATATGAAGAAAAACAACATATTTGCATATGGAAAATAGTGCTTGGATATCCGTTACCATTTCGTTTCTATAATAGTTGAATAGATATTTTATCACTAATTTATACAAGTTACAGTTAATTCAACCGTTGCCTTGGTTAGATATTTATCTCTCATCATTGGCTTACGTTCAATGATTTTCGGCTATGGCAACAATTCTGTTGGTTAGTAGTACAATTACAATCATACACATGTCCAACTGATATGAAACAATATTCGTGTGAAGATTTAGCTGGATTATCTAATTTTATTTAACTTGTATAAGTTAATGATAAAACATCTATTCAACTATTAGAGAAACAAAATGGTAAAGAACATCCAAGCACTGCTTTCCATTTGCAAATACGTTAGTTTTCTTCATATTTTGCATATTTTTTGTATATTATATGGGTAAAAAATGAATAAATCTTCTGGATACTGATCACAGTCAGATGATCAAAAGTATAGGTTTTTTAGTGTTTTTGAGCATATAGTCTAGATTACAGAAAAATACATCGTAACCGATAATATCTTTTTTCCTTGATTGTTTTTTTGTACAAGCATTCTCGTATCTGCTTGAACATCAGTGAAGGTGTATCTGATCGTCGTACTGAATAATCATCTATCACTAAACTGACACGGTTCAGTTTTGTAAAACGTTCCGCAAAATATGAAATAAAAATTGTCATTTCCTAGTAGGATATAAAAAGATGATAATCAAATCAAAATATCATAAGAAAAAAACATTTATTTATTTCACGTCTTTGTTAAGATATGACCAACGAAATCGAGGTGGAAAACATACTCGATTAATGTGTAAGTAATTTATAGTGCGAGCCAGAGAATATTTAGTCAGCTTGTTATTTCTCCTATGTGAGACGCATGCATATTTCACTCACCATTGCTTGTAGTATTTGACTGACACTGCCGAAGAAATGAAAACTTTAATACTAAGCCAAGGACACTCAAGTTGTTTGTCAACTCAGCAGGACCTAAGTCGAATTTTTACGATCCTAAATGACGCTTTACGACCAAATACGGTCGTTTACGACCTCTTCACGACCGTAAACCGATCATAACTAGACGTATAGGACGGCCGTTTCTATTGTCCTGAGTAGAGAGAAATTTATAAATTTGCTCTAGTCGAGATTTGTTATACGACACAAGGGGTAAAAAAATTGACAAAAAACGATTTGTTTTTCGTTTTTAACAACCATAAAACGCGCTAAATGTTTCAAAACCAACGATTTTTTTTATCTGTTTGTTTGAAAACGCCCTTTTCGGAATTTCACAACGCGTTAGAGAACGCGTTTTTCGATGAATGTGAACGACAATGAAAACGTCAATTAACGCGTTTTGAAACGATTCAGAAGGATAAACAGAGGAGAGATACAGAGGTTTGAACCATCAACGCTGGTCTCACCATTCTTCACTTTTAACATTCGGCCATATCCTCTTGACATTACATTAGCTGACAACAAACTAATGGAGAGCAGTAAAATGAGTACTTAACGAAAAATTTCAGTTTCAGCAAAAAATCTTTAGAACGGCAAGAAAAACGCGGTAACAAACGATCGTTAAAAGAGCCGTTTAAACGCGTTTTTTGTCGTTCAAAACTTTAGAATAACGAGTTCTTTGACAACGCGTTTGATAACGATCGTTGAATTAGCCGTTTTCTGGCGTTTTTATTGAACGCGTTTTCTAACGACGTTAAATGATATAACTTCGAACTATTTCTTTTTGTAAACGCGTTTAGAAACGACACGTTAAAACGCGTTTTTATACAAAATAAACGCGTTCTACAAAAACGCCAGAAAACGGTAGCAAACGCGTTGTCAAAGAACTCGTTATTCTAAAGTTTTGAACGACAAAAAACGCGTTTAAACGGCTCTTTTAACGATCGTTCGCTAATGCGTTCGGAAAAAACACGTTTTTCGTGCTGTTGCTAACGATTTTTTTTCGCCTGGGGTACGTTTGATGAGCTAATTAATATTTGGTGTACATAATATCTTTTTTAATGTTGCATTGGATTGCAGTGTTGGTGTGGTAACTTTTAACTGCTTTGCTTGCCAAGATTTATCAAATAACACGCCAATTCTATTCTAAAAACTTTTTTTATTACAGTTGTTGCTTTCTCTATTTTAGAATGAATTGGATATTTTCTCAGCGTTACGATCGACAATCAAACGCATCTCACAAACAGCATCAAAAACAAAAAGAATCAACAAGAAGCAAATTGGCAAATGATTCATCCATAAATGAATCGACAGTGTGATATTAATGTGGTATTTCTAATTGTGCAATAGTACTATTGGTGCTTCTAGTATTTTTCATTCTATAATGTTATAAATAGAAGCGCAAAAAATGAAAAAAATCAAAAGCAATAATCAAAGTCTCTCATACATAAAAAAGTTGATTGTTCTTCATATGCGCATATTGTTTTCATGTGTATATCTATTTTGAATTATATGGCTTTTTACAAGTATTACTTCTTGTCATGAACAACCGGTTATATAGTCTGTTTAGTTTATTTGTTTTATTTGTTGTTGCAGTAATATAATGGAAGAGAGCGAGTCTATTTTTACCTTTTGAAATTGTTTTTACTATTTTGAACGCTGCTTTTTATGTAGATTTTGATTTTTTCTTTATAATATGTGGAAAACGGAAAGAATTTTATTTGTGCATATTTTATTGCTTACTATAGAAATTTTTCAAAATATATTTGCTCTAAGAAACAAAAAAAATCCAGTATCTGATGTTTTGTACTCAAGTATGAAACAAAAAAAGCTTGATGTAATTCTAGATCGTTCACCACTTTATATGTGACGAAGATCTGTAATCAACATGGTTTCATTTTTTTTCCTTGTACTGACACATTTTCACTTCCTTAAACAGCAAGCATCTAGCATGACGATTCATTCAACTCTTGTCATACTTTTTTTAGATTTTTTTTCTCTTGAAACAACTGAATGAAAAATTTGCCGAAAATGCTATTCTAGTCTTCTAGTCTAAACAAAAACAAGTGAACATTATCCACGGAGCATTGACAATGAAAAAAGCTTGTACTCGGTCGTGGGTAATTTTCCACTTCCACCTCCGCGACTTAGTAATTTTCTATCGCTAGAAATTTCACCAGAATTTTAGTAAATTTCCGCCTCCGCCCAAAATATGAAATATATTTCGGTTCTAAATCATTTTTGACTTAGAAAAATAGCATTTTTATCATCCCACAAAATTAGAAAAAACACACTAATACAAGAAAAAGTAGATTCAAACTGAATAATCATAATTATATAAAAAAATGTATATATATATATATACAAAAACAACTACGAGATTTTCGAAAAATGAACAGATACCTTACAAAAGTCCTAATAGAAGGATGACGTAATAGTTTATCAACCAACGCAAAGAAACAATCTGTTTATTTTTGGTATTTTGATTAATCGTGTCGTTGATTTTCTAACAAAATTTTTACTTGTTTTTGGATAGGGTTTTATCTGTTTATAATTCACTATTAACCAGGAAAGGTAACAACAACTCAATGACAAGCATTATCGACATATCCGTATCATCATCATCTCTCAATTTATTTATACTATACGCAACAACTATCATCTGCTAGCTGTTCACTATTCACAATAACGATGTTAGCTGAGTTTCAATTAGGTCAAGGATATTTGACAAGTATAACATTTGACGAAAATAAATTACGGTCGCATATATTTTTGTGTTTAGAACAGAATGAAATAAAACCCTATCCAAAAAACAAGTAAAAATTTTGTTAGAAAATCAACGACACGATTAATCAAAATACCAAAATAAACAGATTGTTTTTTTGCGTTGGTTGATAAACTATTACGTCATTCTTCTGTTAAGAATTTTGTTCGATGTAAGAAATCTCGTAGTTGTTTTTACATATATATCTGCCTGGAAATAAATGTATTTACGGCATGGTCAGCTAACGGTTCACTTTCGGATGAGAAGGTTCGAATTTTATTTTAACTTGAGCAAAGTTTAAAAATATATCATTAGATGCACTTTTTCACGGTGATTAAAAATCTTGACTCAAAAACAAATCAAAATCAAAATCTTCGTGGTGAAAATCTAAATTTTTAAATTTTAAATTTAATTTGCTGACCTAAATATTTTTTCTAAAAATTCTGAAAACTATACCGTCGGATAGAGAATCAAATCCTCTACCAAAGGGCTCATTTGTTTTGACGTTTAGATGCCAAATTTGTTTTTTATTTTTTAAAAAAAGTTTTGGTGTTTATTTTGTGAACAATTTTATGCTAAGTAGTTCGGTGACAGAAAAAATATATACCAGACCATTTGCAACGAAGAGCAAAAAACGATGAAATTCCGTAACGGTCATTTTTATCCGATTTTCTCTGCCAGGGAACAAAATTGAAGAAAACGTCAGTAGTGATTCCGATAGTCCAAACTGTGAGCTTTAATTTCGTAATTAAGTAATCATTTTAAAATTAATTTAAGGCTGAATAATTTAGATTTTACTGGAATACCCCGAAAACACTTCCATTTTTTGAAATTCTGTAACGGTCTCTATTTCGACTATAACTTTTGATTCGCTTGTTCAATCAAGCTTAACTTATTTTTGGTAGTAGAACTCCCTAATATCTATCGTCGGTATAAATTTCATTGATAAAAGTTACTTCTTTGCTGAGATAAGGGGCACAGAAGCCGAAAAACTGAAATTTCGTAACATTTGGCCAAGCTATTCAGTCGATTTTTTAAATTTATTATAAATATGGAAATATATTTTTCGAAAAGTAATTATATATTCTGATAGCGCTTGAAATTCTCTATTAGTCTCTGCTTTCCCAGCCTGGATCTGAAATTATTTGCTGACATTATTGTTAATGTTCCCCACCTATCACATTCCCAGGAATTGTAACGGGTCTGACTTCTCAGTATCTTTTATTTTTCTCGTATTTCTTTAAGACTCAAAGGTTAATGTTTTTCTTAATAGGATGCGTCGCCAAATACTCTACAAAACCATACCTAAACTTTAATTTTAGAATGTCAATCAAGAAAACTACGCAGATTATACGAAAGACGAAAAAACTGAAAACTTTGAAAATCTGGTCTTTTTTTCCACTTGAATTTTTTTCTTCTACTATTATTTCCGTAAAAAAGGGTTGCAAAAGTGAGAACTCAGTTCTTTTTATACTTTTGAATATGCTCTTTCTCGAGGTATATAAAAAAAGACGAGTTAGTTAAAGAAGCATGGAATGCAATTTGTGGGAATGTAGGTGGGAATGTAGGTACATGAATAATATTCGAAATATTTGTCAGCAAATAATCGCAAGTCAAGGCCGACAGATGTACTGGATGATAGAGTATTTCAAACACTATCAGAATATATATTACTTTTGTAAAAAGTTACTTTTATATTCATAATAAATTTGAAAAAATGACTGAAAAAGGAATACAAAATGCAGGCCGTGAGAATCTGACAATGAGGATGCGTTCATTATACCCGAAATATTTTTCAACAAATAAGTGCAAGTCAAGACATAAATATACAATATATTTCTATATTTATAATAAATTTAAAAAATCGACTGAAAACATTTATTTCCCGGCAGATATATAAAGGGTGGGCCAGAAGTCCTGACTCGATTTGAATAATAAATTTTTCTATAGTGAATTGGTTGACCCCGTTAGCTCATCTAGTAAGAAACTTATAGGCTTAGAAATGTGCTTCACAAAAAAGAAAAATTAACCGTGGATTCGGTCTATGTAGTGGTGCTTTCAGTAAAAGTCCTATAACTTCATCAAAACAAAACGTTTTTCGATCGGGTTTGTTTTGTTTTGATCAGAAATGATTATTTTTCTCTACCTAGCTGCAACATCAAAACTTCGATCACG